GATTTAGAACAAAGCCAGACAACACGGGCAGAGGATGCAGGTGAAATATTTGCTCTTCCATGGGAAGATATAACACACGGCTCACAGGTCCAGATAACATACATTTAAAACATGCTGAAGTCCCAGCTGACAAGCTGTCCGCACATCAAAGGGTGATCTCTGGCCAGCTGGAGATGCTAGAAAGTCCCAGGAGAGAGAGCAGCCTGTACCTGCCAATATTCAAATGGGTAAATAGCTGACTTGGGCAAGTGCAGGCTGGTCAGGCAAAGACCGAGCCTAGGCAACATAAATGGATGGCTGCAACTGGACCAGATCGCCAGGAAGCAATGGAGACCAGCGTAATTAATGCCAACCAACACGTGTTTACAGCTGTCAGATCCTGTTGGCAAACGTGATTTATTTTTGTGGGGATTGTGGTCTTGACTGATAAACAAACCAGCACCCGTGCCATCCGTTTGAACTCAGAGAAGACATACGACTTGGTACCATTTCCCATTTTTAATCAAGAAACTACAACTCCATCAAAGGACAGTAGCACGTGTTTGAAGCCACTGTTAGCTGGCTCAGAACAAACCCATGACTGGGTGGTCCGTGGCAGGGGACAAAATCTCCACCAGAGATCTGTGCACCACAGCGATAAGACCATTGCTGAAATAAAGCATCCATTTGTGCTGCTGACAAGTCAGAGAACTTTCTAAGCTGAAAACAGGTCCAAAAAAAGTTCCAAAAAGGGACCAGGAACTAAGATTGGAGAATATGCCAGTGGAAGACTTTACAAGCTCTGTATATTTAGCTTATCAAAGAGAGAGGCAAGAGGTGACTGCATCCTAAATTGCCATAGCCGACCAGGGGAGCAAAGCTTGCTCCAAGCTAGCAGCCAAAGGAATAATGCATTTCCCTGGCTGTAAATGAGAGCAAGCCATGTCCTTCTAGTACCTTACGGAGCACCCTGCCTTGGCTCCCTGTAGTTTGGGGGGGCGAGGTGCAGAGGAGCGTGGCAACCTGTGCCAGGCAGGAGCCAACCTGATAGCCTCCCAAATCCTTCCTGGCATCAGAGAGCCCATGCTGGCCACTGCTGCTTGAGTGGTGCACTGTAAAGCTGTGATTCACAAGCCCATGGAGGTAGGGAACATCCTGGTGCAGAGCCCAGGGGAAGGGAAGGAGGCTTTTTTTTTTTTTCTGAAAGTTGGAGGATGCCTTTTCAAGACCAGCTAAACAGATTAAACCCCAGTTTTCCAAGTTAGGCAGAGTCAGCGTTTGGAGCCAGCCAGCTTGTTCTCTGGTTGGGTGCAAAGCAGCCAGGACGATGCTGGCATCGCTCTCCCCCTTCATCCCTCCATTTGCACATCCTCCTCGGCTGGAGAGAGCACAAAACTGACCCAAAACCCTATGGAAAGAGGCCAGGTTGAGCCAGTCACTTCTAGGGCTGCAGTGGGAGATGCCTGCTAGCTCTGCCCCAGATGTGATTAGCCTCCTCTCCGGCTGCCAGAGGAGCCCAGGGGTTCGGAGATCCAAGCCCACCTTGCCTGGCAGTGCCCACACAGATGCAGAGAGATGCAGGCACACGCAACCCACCACGGAGAGCTCGTTACGCTCAAGCCAGAATAAATGCTCCTTGAAATGGCGGGAGTTTACAGGGGAATAACCTGCTCCCAGAGCTGTCAGAAAGGGTCCCCATCAGGGAAGAGCTTTGCAGGAGCACTCCTTTGCACCCAGGAGTCGGGACTGCCAGGTCTGACTGGCAGCTGTGCCATGGGGCAGGAGCGTATGCCCCAGGAAAGCAGGTCATACCTGCCTGGCAGCAGGGAGAGGTATCAGCAGGAGCTATTAGGGAAGAAATGCTTTTGAGGGACACTAAATAACCCCAGCCTGTGCCTTAAATAACCTGTGCTGGGAGCAACGAGCCAGCAGGCTCTCCTGGGCTTCTCCAAAGGCGATTCTAGCCAGCAAGTCACTGCTGCTGCCAGCCTGCCGTCCCAGGGGAAGGATGTCCTCTTACCTGCCAGGGACGGCCGCAGCCATTTCCCCACAGTTCCCGAAGGCTGTGGCTGCACCCAAAGAGCCATGGAAATGCCGGCTCCTGAGCCCCATGAGAGCCAGGGCGGCAAGGAGACACGCTGCCAGGGCAGCCTGACTACAGTGCCTCCTGCTCTGGGCCACCCCATCTCCCTTCTGTCCCTAATGAAAAGGGACTCTGCCATCCTGGGCTTTTTTTTAATTATTGCTATAAATAATAACAGCAGCAGCAGCAGACTGGGACACACAAAGCCCAGGCTGCTGAAAGCCGGCACCACTGCACCCACACTGCTCGGGAAACCTGAGGCACGGGCATCCCCAGTAACTTCAGCATGGCACCAGGGAGTCCAGAGGGAGCCACACTGCCCCTCCACATCCACCAGCCTTCGGCCTCAGGGGCCGGACGCCCCCGATGGTTAACCTCAGGGGACACCGCGGGAAGGGCACTGGAGGACCATCTGTGGTGGGGCTTCCTCCAGCCCTGCCCCAGACTTCCCCACCACCTCTCACAGTCCTGCTCCATCAGCCGGTCCCCAAACCCTCAGCTCTTTCGCCCCATACATCCTCTCCAGTCCCCTTCTCCTCCCCTATTTTTTGGCATCTCCAAAGCTTTCTCCACCCTCCCTCCCCACCTTCCACCCTTCTCCCTGCTTCCTCCACCTTCCTCTTCATCCCCTGCTCTCCCACACCTCCTTCCTATGACTAGGTGGCCATGCCATCCTCCCTCCACTTCAGCTAATTCCCTCTCTCCATGGGAGCTGGTGTTCATCTCTGCCGCTGAGCCCCCTTTCATGCCTCCTGGCTTTTGCCATCCCACCCCCTTTCTCCCTGCTGCCGCTGGGATAGGAGGGAAGCAGGGGACCCGCGCGCTCAGCAGGCCTGACCCCCAGCTCTCATTAACAGTGCCCTTCTCAAAGCAGGAGCAGCGTGAAATAAATAAATAAAGCAAATCTCTGTCTCGCTGCTGTCTCGGGTTGCTTAAGGGAGCCGGGCGCTGGGGGTGGGATGAAGGATGCTATTTGGAGAAGCTGTCTCCATGGCAACCCCCATTCCCACCACCGAGCGGGCACAGGTCACCTGTTTCCATGAAAGTTTCCCCCCCTCCCTCTGCCCTGGGAAGTGCCAGCACAGCCCCAGGGGTGCAGGTGGTCCAGCCCGCGGGAGAAGTGGCAGGGATGCAGGAGAAGTGGCAGGGATGCTGCTGGCGTGGCTGCAAATGGCCTCCAAAGTCCCCCACACCACATCGGAGGAAGCCAGGGCATCCCCACGGTGCAGCGTGCAGGGGCCAGCAGGACCCACTCCCTTCTGCCCCACGCCGGCAAGGAAACCCCAGTGTCTTCCTACCTGTGTCCCCATGGTCAGTCTAATGCAGGCAGGGGGGCTGTGCTCTGCTGCAGGGCTCGGGGATGGACACAGGCACGCACCCTGACACACGTGCTCTTGGGACTGGGGCAGAGATCAAAATGTGTCCCCTCCCTCCACATGAGGCCCTAGGTGCTGCGTTTCCATATGATTTCAGTTGTTTATTTTAATTCAAAATTGGCCGCTCCCATTAAACACTACCAGGTGCTCCCAGAACAACCTGTGGTTCCCTTTTTAGCTCTGACAACTCCACCTCTCATGCGACAGATGCGCTTGCTGGGACCTTTCCCCGAGTAAGGCAGCGTCAGCCCTGCGTCGCCGAGCACTCCTGCAGCCAACCTGATGCTCCCCACCGCGCCAGCCCCATCCCTGCATGCCCACGCGTCTGCCCACGCGTCCGCCGCAGGGCTGGCAGCAGTGCCCGATACCCCCCACACCAAAACAGCCGGCAGAGCTCCAGGAAGAGACATAGAGAGGATGGAGCGAGAAAAGGAGAACTGGGAACTGGTTCTGCTCTCCACCAGCTCTCCAGCACAGGGCGGGCGGCACAAGCAGCAGCGGTCTTACCCACTGCCAGCGTTAACACATCTTCTGCCGGTACCAGCAAGGCAGCTCCCTACGGTTGAGGTGGACAAGAGGGTCGGCAAAGAGCCCCTGGCTGAAGTTCTGGAGTTGGCACCCAGGCAGCCATCCTGCAGCACAGCGCAGGCTGGAGGGATTCGCACGGTTCCCTCACAGGGCTGGGAGTTTCGCCAGGAAAAGCAAGTTTATAAATAGTGCATTTCAACACGAACAAACGAAAGCGGCAGAACTCGACAGTCAGATAAGCCAGGGGCTGAGTGCCGGCCCCTCCCCAGAATCCTCCCCCACCAGGAACGATGGTCCCTTCCCTCCATCGCCCAGCTGGCCAGGACCATCCTCGCTCTCTAGAAAGCCTGGATCTGGAGTTGTCTGTGTCAGATGTGCTGCTTGGGAACACCCTTGCTGCAGCTGGTCTGGCAGACAGAGCCAGGCAGCAGAGCTGGTTTCAAAAAGACCAGAAGCAGGGGGGATGGCCACCTGCTCCGCTCAGGGGCAAGGGCAAACAGCCCACAGCAGCCAGCTGTGTAGCCAGGGCCAAAGGCCACAAATTTCACTGTATTGCTTGAAACCAAGTCTTCATAAGCCCACAGGCCAGGAAGTTTCTAACTTCTCCTCCCACCCCTGCAGAAGACAGCTGCCCCACCAGTGAGGCTGGCACTTGAAACAGAAGTTTCATGGCACAATGCGTTACACCGAAGGGGCACATACCTGCCAGATCCTAACAACAAGCAAGACACTCAAGGGGAAAACCAGCTTTTATCTCTGCATTAAGGAGAAAAGCAGCAAGTTGTCAGATGAGAACTTGCTTCTCATAAACACAAAACAGCAGAAAAGACACCCCTGCGCCTATGGAGCGAACAGGAGGACATCCCTGCTGGGGAACTACCTGCCAGATTGCAAAAGGAGAAGATCTTGATGGTAGGGCCCAAGGGAAGACTTGAAGAGATGATATGTCAGAGCAGCCCCATCAGCTGCCAGCAAGAGAAGCCTCTGACAGTCCAACGAACACATGCAACGCTCTTCATGCCACGCTTGCTTACCTTGATGTAGGTGTCAAGGGCTGGGTGGACACGGTTGACTGCTAGATGGATGGACAACGGCGTAGTGAATGGGAAGGTCGCCATGACCACGTGGCTGGGAGCAGGGAAGGAGAAGATCTTGAAGCCATACTTCTGGAACCTCTTGATTTGGTCTTCCGACGGCTTTGTGTCTCCCTCGCTCAGGATTCGGCCAATGGCGAAGCGGCACTTCTCCGGAGGCACCTGATCAAGGGGGACAGACAGACAGCATCAGAAGAAGAGAGGGGCTTAAGACCAGCCAAATGCTCAACCTGCTGAGCATGGAGGCAGGAGACCACCGTGAACCAGGGTAAATGCAATGGCCCAGCCTGATCGGGCACACCAAACCAGGTGCCCGCTCCTAACCAAGACTGATCCAGGCCCAAACTGTCCACGCTCCTCCCAGCCTAAGCTCACAACCCAGTGGGGAAGGTACAGCTCCCCTCCCTGGAGGGCAGAGGGACTTGTGGCAGAGAAGAACTAAACCCCACCGGGCTGCTCACCCAAACCCACCCCGGGTGACAGCCAGTGCAGAAAGTGTCTCTCCTGACCCCCCCATCAGAGACTTGGCTCTTGAGACATGCTCACCACTGTCCCCATCTGCAGGATATCCCTGCGACTCTGGGGGTGGGGGCAAAAAAAAAAGAGATGTGACCACAACCTGCCCAGCTTGTCTCCATCTCACCCCCAAGGATGGTCACCCTGCAGGGGCACCTGCCCCCAGCAGCCGCCTGGACATGCGACCCACCAGCACAGACCACTGGCACTGAGCTGGGGAGAAATCCAGAGGCTGCTGGGTCCCTCCAAAGTAGGGACACTCAGTCTGGCATGGTTTTAGGGGTGGGGAAACTGAGGCACATAAGACTTGCATGCAGTCACCAAGCTTTGTGTAGCAACACAAAGAGAAACACATCCCCCTCCATCCTGGACCCCAACAACATATAAAACATAAACCATGCTCTCTTTCCAGATTTGGGGATGCCTCCCGTTAAGACAGGAGGCTGCAGGGCTCCCAGCCCAGCAAGGGGGTTGCTCAAGGCTCTGCTCCCGGCACAGTGATGGTCCATGGGACTCCGGCCATCCCCACACCAAAGCTGACCCGGGCTGCGGCTTTAATTTCTAATTTTTAACAAAAGTCCCACCACTCGAGTTCACATTTACCCATGGCACTAGGCAGGAACATGGCAGGGGGCAGGAAAGCCCAACAACTGCCCCCCTCCCCCGATACCACCTAAGGGCACAATGTGCCTTCCTACTGCTGAGATCAGAGCCCAGCTCCCTCCTTTAACTCCAGCCTTTGTCCCCAGCAGAGCTGCTGTCCTTTCCACCCCCAAAGAGATGCTCAAAGAAGGAGCCAGCAGGCAGAGACAAGGCTCCTTCCCCCAGGGCACACTGGCCTAAAAAAGGAGCCCAGGAAGAAGAGGGGGTACAGGGGGCACCAAGGACAGGGGCACCACCTGAGTGTTTGTGCTCCCCCATCACCTGTTCTCAAGCCTGCTGGATATCGAGACGATGTGGCAGCCAGCAACCAGGAGCGGCACATGGACGAGTCTGGCCACCTTCTCTGGCCAACCTCTTCTGGTGAGGGCTGGACAACCAAAGTCTCCAAACTCCCACCACACAAGGTGGCAAAACTCACCAGGCCCTGCCAGGATGCCCGACAGCGGCAGCAAGACGGTCAGACACCCTGCAGACGCTGGCATCGCAAAGCTCTCACAGGGATGATGGGAGGCAGAGAGAGGGTGCACACAAGGCCAGACTTCCCATCCCCACGTGCCCCCCAAGAGGATCTCCGCTCTGCACTCCCCAACCTCATCCCTAACTTCGCCCGTGCTAAAGCTCAGCAACGTCTCCTCCTGCAGCATAACTACCCCACACCGCACTCCTTGCCCTCCCTTTCCCTTAAACACCTTTTAACGTTCCACAGCAGGACCTCCTGGAGGGGAAACAGAAGCAGATGTAAATAGGAAGGAAGAAAACAGACTGTCAGAAGCAGCAGCAGCCATCAGGCTGGGGACTGGCGTGCCTGACGGCTCACTCTTGCCCTCCTGTGCTGCAAGAGGGAGCTGCAGACAGGGCTGTGCCGACTATCGCTGCTTTGGGGCAGGGAAGAAGCAGATGCACCCCAAAGACAGCAAGAGGCAGCAGTAAAAGGCATTCATGGGGAAAGGCCCAGGTGAAACAAGGAGATAAGGGAAATCCAGATAAAATTCTTTTAAACATGCAATCTCCATTTATGTCCTGAGCAAAGACAGTTCACCACCAGCCCCAGAGCAACTGACAGAAGGACCCGAGCTGCTGGAGTGAGCAGCACCACTCGGGCCAGGCATGTTTGCTTCCTCCTTTCTCCTTTTAACTTTCTTTATCACAGCATGTAGCCCTGCAGGCGCTTTCTCATGGGCAGCAGCAAGGCAGATTTGCCTCCTCCCCTGCCTGGCAAAGCCCATCTCAAGGGAGGAAGGAAATACTCCAGTTAAAACCAGCCTTTCCCTAACGAATTTGTCCTTTCGGGGTGGGCAGGTGTTGATCAAAGCCTCTGCTCACCCAAGCACCCCAACAGAGAAGTTTTGGAAATTACTAGTTAACCTATTCGGCAGCTTTGCTGATGGGAGCAAAACCCATTCCTGCATTCAGAGAGTCTTTTGGCCTCATCCATCCAATGCTTGGGCACAGGCTGGTCACTGAGCACATGAACATGTGGACTGCAGGCAAAAGGCCCTAGCACGTGCCTACAGCTAAATGTGAACAGAAGCACTTGGCTGGAGCTGAGGAGTTATTTTTGTTCCTGCCAGAGATGGGAGAAGGAGGGAGAAGTCCTCTGGGCTGCTAAATATTAAAGAAAAAAAAAAAGTGCAAATTAATATTAATCTTGTCCATTAAAACACATAAAACATTGCTGGCAGGGCTTTGGCAGCACTCAGGGAGCATCCTTGCGTGAACGCTGGAGAGCCAGGAGCCAGCAGGGAGCCCCGGGGACGCTGGCCACGCCGAGGCCTGGTGCGACCCTGAGGCAGCCCACATGCTCCAGGCCATGGGACTCCCCCAGCCCCACTCCCAGCCGAGCGCCAGCACACGGCTGCTGCTCTCCAGCTCTGGCATCCCTGTTCTCTCTCCTAGCAAGAACCTCCTTTGGCCATGAGTCCACCAGCAAATGCCACACTGGCACCTGCTGGTCATCAGTGCCATCCTGCAGCAGCAAATCCCCCAGGAGCCGGCAGCCAAGAGCCGGGCTCCAGGCAGCTGTCTGGCCAGAGCCCACCGGCGCTCAGCCAGGGACATCGCGGGACACAGCAGGCAGCAAGGACATTATGCTACCTGATGACAAAAGGTCTATTTTTGGTGACACATCAACATCCATGGTGGGTGGCCAGCTCCGGTCGGACCAGCCTCTGCCAGTGGGTGCTTTACCGAGGTCAGGAGAGCACTGAGAATGAGGAGGAAGAGGAGGAGGTCATCTCTTCCTCCCAGGGGAAAGGCAGCATGGGTGACTGGACCTCCAGGAATGAGGAGCCAGCAGCGCACACCATCTCCCATTGCACCATGGCTACAGCGGGTACGAGCACACAGGGGCACCCCACGGGACGCCAGGGTGCTCGGTGCCTGAGCCAGCACACCAGGCACAAGTGTTGCAGTCCCCGGCCAAGCAACTCACCCAAAACTGGCCCCTTCTTCACCTGCCCAGAGGCAAGGCAGTCCTCTGCCCACCCTGCCCAAGGACATGCTCACTCCCAGCACCTTGCCTGGCCTGGCCTGCCCATTGGTGAGACACGGATCTCCGCAGGAACCAATTCAGGAGCCACAGATGAACCCATGGAAGGTGCCACCAGCACCCTGGCTGCTCTGGCAGACCCAGGTCTGACGGTGTGCTCATGGGTGTCAGGCGAGAGGAGACTCCTGCCGCTGTGCGGACGCCCAGGCACCACGGCTACGTCCTGCATGGACCTGTAGTGCCCCAGCCACCACAGGGCCTATGGAGGCAGGAAGCTCAGGCCAATGTCACCTGCCCAATGTCATGAGCAAAGAGCTCATCCAGAGACAGGCAAGGTCTGTGGTGCTGCCTGCCAAGCCTTTGAGGGCACATTAGGCTCCTGTCACAAGAGCCAACCACATGGCCTCCAGAGGTTGGGACGCCTGGTCACAGAGATGCATTACAGGTTTTATTGGTCCCCAAGAGCTTCCAGCACCCTCCAGGCTCACTCCACAAACATGCAGCACCCAGAACCTTCACTGTGCCCATCCTGAGCACCACCTGTCCACCAGGGTCCAAGAGGGAGGCAATTCACCTGCCCAGTGTCACCACCAGGATCTCCCAGCTTGACCTACAGACTTGGGGCCATGCACCCTCCAAAACATCTAGAGACCCAAACAAACTCACTACCAACCTTCGCAAGAACCCCACTGTGGATTGCAGCTCCCCACAGTATCCTGGCCCGTGCAAGGAGCTCCTCTCGCACACCAGCTGAAGACACTTGTGCCCCACGCCGGATCAGTGGCCAGTCCGCGGGCAAGCAAGTACAGGCCCCTCAGCAGGGGGGTGAAACAGGGCCTCCAGATCCGGTAGCATGCTCCAGTCCAGACTGGACACCAGCTGGGCCACCAGGCAGAGGACCTGGCGAGCCTTGACCACAGCAGGCCGAGAGCTGCCTCTACCTGCTGAGCCCTGAATGCAGAGAAATCTCCCCAGGTCGCCAACACCAAGGCAGGTCTCCTTGGCCACCAGGTGCCATTCATCCATGCTGGCAGAGGTGGTCTTCCCCTCCTGAGACCAGACTGGGAAAGGAGAAACAGCTGGCTTCCAAAACCCTGATGGCCACCGGAGACCCACAGACAAGGTCTGCAGGCCCACTGCCTGCTCTAACCACAGGGTGAGGGCAGAGATGCAACGGCTGTCGGATGAGGAGAAAAGAGATTGAACCAGAAAGATGAGGCAGCTTCATCCCACACGGACAGCCCAACTTTCCAGAGTCACATAGGAGCCACTCCTTCCCAGCCTCATCTGGTGCTGCCAGGGAAAGCAGTCCCTGTGCCAGCCACAGCAGGAGTCACCACAAATATCCTTATCAGTATCTGCAGGCCACAGCAGTACAAGCTTTCACTAGCCCACGCTTCGGCAAACAGAGAGGCAAGGCACGGCACCGAGGCAGAAAAGGTCTGCAGGGCAACCACAGGCATGTCCACATCACGTCCCTGGAGCATGGCAGCACGAAGCGCAGACGTCGAGCCCTTCCAACAGCATCGACTGCCCTGCTCCGCCCTCAGAGATGCCGAGGAAGAAGCAGCAGCACCGGGGTTCTCAAGTCCAGAAGAGAACCTCAACACAAGGATGCAAATTAGTGGCAGGGGAATTGGCCACTCTGACCATGTGGGCTCTAGCACGCCAGGCACTCCCCATGGCTCCCATCCCTCACCCGCTCCAAACACAACACTTCTTGCAGACAAAAGTGTCCAAGCACATCTAGTCGAACCCTGCCTCTCCCCAGCTCATCTCGGGGTGGGAAGTCCTCCTTGCCACCCTCCTTCCCAGGCCAGGAAGATGCACTGCAGGGTGTCTCTTCTCTGCCTCCCATGATCGAGAAGCAAAAACTGGAAGGTAAAGATAAGTCAGCTTGTCACAGGATACAAAGACACAAGGTGGTTGAGCGTACCAGGCTCCACTGAGCAGTCAGCTCAGCATTTTCTCATCTCCAATATCTTCCTGCCACAGCGCTCCAAGAAGCCACTGAGGACTACGTTTTCATGGACAAGTTCCCTCTAAGCAGGTCCAACCCTTGGGAGCACCATCTTGCAAGCAGCAAAACAGGGGCAGGTACTACGTGGCCCATGAGGGTTCCTAAAGCAGGACCAGTCACCCCCAGAGCAGAAGCACTGGGCAAGAGCTATCAGCCTGAGCACTGTGCCCCGCGCCAGCCCCCAGCACACGTGCCCAAGCACACGCACAGGGCTGCTGGCCACCCCGCTGTCCCTCCCCCCCCAGCATTCCTCCACGGTCACACCAGCTACTGCAGAATTACTGGGGAGCCAGGCTGTCTGCCACAGACAAATGCCCACATGCCGTTACCTGGAGACCCCAATGCCACCGAGCATCAGCAGCCAGGCTCCTCACCCCCCAGCAAGTTCTGATGCACTTTTGTTTGCTCCTTGTCCTGGACTGTGCCCACCGAAGTACTTAGCTCTGGCTGGCAGCCATCAGGCAGTGCACTTTCTGCTCACCTCTCAGCCTGAAGAGAATCATAGAGTAACTGTTTCATCAGACAGGAGCCCTCAGCATGCACCACCTGAGGTTTCAGTAAGAACTCTCAGGGGATGAGAGAACTACAGGGAAGCTCAGAAATACATGAGAGCACTAGAAACAAGAGAAAGAGTATGTATGAGGACACAGCAAGTTGAAGAGACCATCTGCTTTCAACCACACAGCTGCAAGTCCAGAAGGAGTCTCAGCTGCACTTCCTGCAGCCATGGGATCTGCCAAGGAATGCCTCACCTTGGGGTCATGGACATTGGCCTCTGTTCCATAACCAGATCCGTTATCCTGCTGATAACTTGTTCAGCAAGAGCTATCAGAAGATAGCTTTGCTTGCCCAATGCCTTCCAGTTAGGGTTATCCAAGAAACCATCTGCTTTCAGGGTGCCTTTCCCCACAGAGCATCCTCTGCATATCTGGGAGACCTTGTGAACCCCAGTGCTCATCTACGGAGGATGAGCTTGCAAGTGCCTGAAATAGTCAGGGAGCAACCTGAGCCAGGAACCTGGGTGCTGACCATGAGAGCTTGCCGGCCCCACTGGGCACACCTTACCGTGTGAGGGTTGTCGTAGTAGACGCCGATGGAGCAGAGCTTCGAAGAGATACTGCAGCCGTCCGTGAAGAGCTGCCCGGATTCACCATACGGGCCCACCCTGAACTTGTAGGCCAGCGTGATGTTGCCAACAGGTGGGGAGCCAGCACTCACAACCACCTCGGTGAAGAGCCCCGAGTAGACAGCAAAACCGAAGACAGTCAGCAGCAGCAGCACGACCAGCACCGCGATCAGCCCAAGGAGCACCCAGTCGGACATGATGGACACTTGGTGCTCCATACTTCCTGGTGCACTAGTGGCAAGAGGAGAGAAGAAAAGGAGGGGAGTTAAGCTAGCACTCAGACAAGCAATTGCTCTCTAAAGCTATTTATTTGCAGCCACTGCCAATTCCTCTTACGTGTGAAGCTTAAAGACAGTGGAAACCCCCCAGAAACCTCCTGTATATTAGTCCCACATTGCATCAGCCTGCTCCAATTGGTCACCAGGTACAAATTATACTGCTTCAGCGCCTCTTGGGAATGAGGTGGTTATGGAGGGGGAATGGAGAGGCACTGTCCCCGTCTCGCCAGAACCAGCCACACCGCTCGCGTCCAGCCTTGCACCCAGGAGAGACCAAAAACCACCCCGGGAGCCCGCATCACCCATCAGATACACAGCACAGGGATTAGGGGACCATAATCAAATAATTTATCATTTATAGATACCAGACCCAATGTTGTGACCAGGGCAGCCCCTTTATCAAAAAGTCTAGAAGCCCAGGCCTTTCATGACCCAAACGAGGACGACGCCAGTTCAGAGCTGAGACCTGCATCTGGATCCAAGCACAGAGATAGGATCGGAGAAAGCTGAAGACCCAGCCAGAAAAAGCATCCTCAACACACTCAGGTGTAATTAATTACCACTATTCCTTTTAGACGGCTTTTTTTAACCTAAAAGAGTTTTTGTAACCCCAACCAAGGCTTCCTGTTCTGTTTGCCATCTTTTCTCTCTTGCGCTGACTGCGGGACACAGCAGCCTGGCAAACGCCTCCTGCTCGTTTTCACCCACCAAGCACAACCACTCTGGGGAGTTGCAACCCAAACCATCACAGGAGAGTTGTTTGTGTTTTATTCCCCCTTGAAACACAGCTCTGGTCACAAGGACTGGTTGCAAAACTCCCTAGGGACTTTCACCGGAGCTAGGTTTGAAAGCGAAGTTTGAAGTAAACAATTCACCTTTACCTCCGTGTTACAAACACACTTTGTCCAAAAAAAGTCATTCACAGCGGCTGCTGCTTGCTCAGCTTCACAGCGAGAGAAAAGCCACATCCTGGTAGGAACGGCAAACGGCTCAACCCCGGCGAGCAGGGGTGCAGCAAAACAAAGCCCTGCAGAGCTGGCACTGCCAGCCACGCTGTCGGTGCCATGGCAGCACCGGGCTGGGCACCGTCTCACGCTACGGCCCTACTCACCTGAAAAACCAGCTCAGCCCAGGAACGGTTCACAACATCTGATCCACAGGGGTGCAGGATCCGTAGCACTGCAGCAGGAAAAAATAAGTATCATTGCTTCCTTTCTAACTCATGAGACCAAAAGCAAAACAAAGTCATGGCAGAGCACCCAAAAGGCGTCCGGTCGCCTTAGACCTGCTCCCCAGAGGAGGGGTGTCCCGAGGACCACCTTCTCCTGCGGGACCCCAAAGGCCAAGATTTCTTCCCAGAACTCTGCAGCTGAACACACGGGGACCGAGAAGCGCAGAAATTGGAAAGCAGTGGCGAAGGAGGGTGATGTCCTGCAGCTGCCTCTGCTGGCGATTCCCACCCCGGGCCATCCCCGAGCTCCCCGGGGACACCTGAGCTGCATCCAGTGCTGCTCCCCAGTGACCTCGGAGCAGAGCACCCCCAGACCTATAGCTTGGCTGGAGCTATACGTCTGTCCTGATTCCCAGCAGCGCCGTGCCTCCTCCCTATAACCAGCACAGATGTATTACTTATAAAGCACGGCTTTGGTGATTCTCTGTGAGCTGCCAGTCCAACACCCAGCCCGTGGGCCTGAAGACTGCCGGCCCCAGAGGAGAAGAGGGTATTTTTGGCTGTTCTCCCCGGCTCACGTGGCCCATTCCCTGCCAGCC